CTCCTTTCTTCCCCTCTCTTTCCTCTCATCCTCCCTCCTCTTTCTTTCTCTAAACTTCCTATATATCCCAATACTCTCTCACTGTTTCTCTAACCTTAAATCCCAAACCCCCCAAAACTAGAGCTTGAGCTTTTCAGCTCAACAACTCATGGAGATACAAGTGGCTCACCCAGTGCCCCCTGTGGACTTCAACTTCGACAGCAGCGCCTGCTCCTCCCCTTACATGACTGCTCCTTCAAGCCCCACTCGATTTGGCAACTATTTCTTCAGCGCACCCACCAGCCCCACCCGGGCCTCTTCCTTCTACAGCCACTTCAACGACTTCTCCGGCGAAAACGGTCCAAGACTTTCAGCCTCTTCGATCCCTTTCAAGTGGGAAGAGAAGCCCGGAATTCCCAAGTCCAGAGCTACCATTAATGGTGATCATAGTCATCATCTTGAGGAGGATTTTGAGTTTGATTTTAGTGGACAGTTGGAGAAGGCTTCCTTGCCGGCAGACGAGCTCTTCGACGGCGGCAAGATCAGGCCTCTGAAACCCCCTCCTCGCTTACAAGTTGGGAGCAATGGAGCTGATGAGCCAGGTCCCTCCGGTTTTTCCCCGAGGTCACCGTCTCCAAGAGCGTCGAGACTTTCCCAAGGAAAGAAATTGGTCCAAGGAGTACTATCCCCGAGGCATCACCGAAAGGACCATCAGGCTCATGATGATCCTTTCGCTGCCGCTATGAATGAGACCCGAAAGAACGAGTATGAATATGGAAATCAAGAAGAAAGGCGGGGGAGAGAAAGATCTCCTTCCGTGCGTAAAAAGGGAACCAGATCTTTGTCTCCCCTGCGCGTGTCGGACGTCATGTTCGACATCGAAGAAGACAAGACAGTTTCTTCATCAACAATCAACTCCAACAAGGCCTCCACATCTTCAGCATATTCTTCATTTTTGTCAGCGATCTCGTTCTCTTCATCGAAAGTAAGTAGAAAGTGGAAATTGAAAGATCTATTGTTGTTTCGAAGCGCATCAGAAGGCCGAGCCACAACTGGAAAAGACCCGTTGAGAAAGTACACGATGCTGTCCCCCAAGAAAAGTAGCAGTAGTATTGCGGAGGATGTGAAGAACTCGAGTTTTCGGTCCACCGACAGTGTGGGGTCGGTGAGCTCGAGGAGGAGAGGGCCGGTTTCGCCGCACGAGTTGCATTACACCGC